CGTCGACAGAGCTTGCGCGTATTAATTCTTATGAACAAACACGGGTTACGACGTTACGTTACGTCCGTCTTAACGCGTGACGGAAACGTAAAGAAGACGCGTATATTGCTGTTTGAGCAAAATTGACGTATGACGGAACTGTGCAACAGCCAACAAGTACGTAATTAATGCTGTAAATACGTAAGCGATTTTACTGGAAAAAAAATAATTTCTTATTAAATATTAAATAATAAACTTAAAAAAAAAAGTGGGGGGAAATTGTCCGCCATTCGTTTTTTTAAACGTTATTTTTCTAAATTGTTTCCTAATAACATTTTCGATAATTTTGTTTTTTTTTTTTTTTTTATATATATATTTTTATTTCTTATACCTAACTTATAATAGTTACATGCACTTGAGTTATAACTAGTTATTCTTAATATTTAAAATTTAAATTTCAAATCAAAATAATCATTTATATTTTATATTTTATATGTAAAATTCAAAATTTCAAATTAAAACATTTTTAAAAGTGATAACACATATATAATATATATATTTTTTTTCGTAATAAATAATAACAGTATAACTCAGAATTAACTCTATAATTTATTTACGTTTTCGTTTTTGATTTCGTTATTATATTTTTGTTGTTTTCGACGTTTTCATTTTATTAATTGTTTTCGTTTTTCATTTTTTTCGTTAAATAAGGTTTTTTAAAAACCTTTTTCCATCCCTGATTTTTACCGTATATGTTAATGATTTTTTTTTAATTTGATTATTACAATTATTGTAATTTATAGTTAAAGTTTTCAATATGATCGTTTTAAAGCTGGATTTTACTTATAAATTTTTTTATTTTTCAGTTTGTTTGTTCTCGCCAAAAGGAGATGATAATTAATGCCTACAAAAGTAAATTGGAAGCTAATCCCAAGCTTGCTATAAGAGAGGCTCGTGTAATTCTTTCCAAAGAATTAGGCATTGGTATAACCACAATATCCAACACGCTTTCCGAGTATCGCAACTTTAAAACAGTATCATCACCGAATAGGACGAAAATTTTCAAAAATATCAATGTTAAGGTTGATGATTTTGACGAAGAAAAGTTCATCAGTTTTGGGTAAATCGTGAGTTGCCAAATTTAAATAAAATTTTAAGTGTTGTAAATGAAGATGACACTTTACCGGACTTCGCATTGACAACACTATGGCGTCTTTTGAAATCAATGGGTTTTCAATTTTCAAAAAGAGGACGCAACAGTGCATTAATTGAAAATGATGACATTCGGGCATGGCGTAGACGGTATATCAGAGATATAAGGAAATATCGAGAGGAAGGCCGACCGATTTATTACCTGGATGAAACGTGGGTGAATGCCGGAGACGTGGCAATACGAGTATGGTGTGATACAACCGTTAAATCGAGCCAAGCTGCATTTTCCTAGGGTCTTTCTACCGGAGCAGTTAACCCCACCGGAAAGGGAAAACGGCTCATAGTGTGTCACATCGGCTCTGAAGATGGATTTGTTTCGGATTCGTTATTATGCTTTGAGTCGAAGAAAAACACCAACGATTATCATGATGAAATGAATGGTGATAGTTTCCGTGATTGGTTGGAAGGTGTTTTACCGAGGCTCAAAGATAATGCGGTCATAGTTATGGACAACGCGCCATACCACTCGGTGAAGTTGGAGAAATGCCCGACTTCAAACTGGAGGAAGGCTGATATCATCCAATGGCTACAGGGTAAAGGAGAAGTTGTTGACCAAACTATGATAATACCGGAACTACTGGAAGTTGTTAGAAGGATAAAACCGATCTACAACAAGTACGTCATCGACGAGATGGTTTTACAACAGAACAAAACAGTGTTAAGGTTACCACCTTATCATTGCGAGCTCAATTCAATTGAGTTAGTTTGGTCTGTTGTAAAACGTCACGTAAAAGCCAACAACAAGACATTTAAATTACCTGATGTCAAAAACCTCTTGGTCGAAGGAATAGCCAAAGTGGACGCTGAAATGTGGAAGAACTTCGTAAAGCACACAATTGAAGAGGAAAATAAGTTTTGGACCTTAGATGACACGGTGGACGAATTGTCGGCTGAACAAAACAGATTGGTTATGACCATAGGAAATAGTGACACTGAAGAAGATGACGATTTCGATCTTTTATCAGATTAAAAGATAAAATTGTGTAAATATTTGTAAAATTATTATTGTAAAAACCTATTTATTGTATTGTGTACATGATGTATAAAAATTTACTGTAAATTATTATTATACAACCATTAAGTTGATGCTCAATTTAAATAATCATATTATCAATAAAAAACTATCTAAAAAATATTAAATATTCCCGATTCCTTGGTAAACGTTAACGCCGTGTCACTTGGATATGATAAATAATTGTAAACCGGCTATTTTAATAATTAGTGTATACTGTATACTCGTCGGCACAGTTTGATCGGCAACTTTCGTGCTCGATCGATGGCTAGTTACGGCGAAAGTGGGAGAAATTAGCCTCGGGACGGCTGGCAGCCGTCAGTCGACATGCGTGAAACCGGTATGTTCTCTTTTGAAATGTAGTGTAGTGTGCGTGACGCTAACGTTACGTCACATCACGTCTCCGACTGTCTCCGTAACGTAACGTGACGGAACGTAACGAAACGTATCTGGTGTGCGCGCTGCTTAACGCTGTGTAGTGTACTAGTGTGCGGGCTGCGGGCATAGACATAATATTAATATTTAATCGAGGTTATTATCGGGTTATTCTAAAATAATATAACTGATGCATCTTGATAGCTTAATTTTATAGATAATGTACATTGTACAATAGTATGGTTATCGTAGTTAAATAATATTTAACACATTTATAATAATATTAAACGCACTCATTCGCGTTCAATCTGTGATATTACGCACTTCATAGTTTATTACGTACAAGTTTTAATAGTTTTATTACGTATGATCATTGATTTTTGCAATACATTGTTCTGCTCGTTTGATACTTGAGTCGTTTAGTGTTTAATTTAATTTATTTATCTTTGTTGTGTAAGTGAAATATTAAAAAATATAAAAATATTAATATGAGTAAAAGAACTTCTACTGATCAAAGCTCGCTTTCTTCGTGGGTGATAAAACGACCAAATGTTTCTAGTGTTTCTACTACGATTGACTGCAATAAAACAAATAAATCACCAAATTGTTTAAATGAAGTATTATTAGATTCTTTAGAAAAAAAACAAACTTCAAAATTGACAAAATTAAATGACGATAAGATTAATAATTTACCGCCTACTACAAGTAATTTAAACGAATTTACAAGTGATATTAGTGATATAGGTTATTTTTTAAAGAATACATTTTCAAAAATTCCTGACGACATTAAGGTAAAATTATTGGAACTACCTAATATTCCTAAAGATGATTTTGTTTACCCATTCTCGACTCACATAAAGAAAAACAAGGAGGAACGAAGGTTTTTTAATAGATCACATTTTGAAAAATACAAATGGCTTGTGTATTCTTACGAAAAAAATGGTGTTTTCTGCAAATATTGTGTATTATTTAGTAATAAAGGTGGAAAAGATAGAGCAACACAATTAAATAAATTGGTAAAAGAACCACTAAATAAATATGCAAAAATCTTAGGAAAAGAAGGTGATTTTGAAGTCCATAGTAAATATCATATTGATAGTATTCAAATTGCTGAAGATTTTTTACTGAGATACAAAAATCCTCACAAAGAGGTAATCAATATTATTAATACTGATAGATTGAAACAAATTGAAGAAAATAGAAAAAGGCTAAAACCAATAATAGAATCAATAATTTTTCTTGGTCATCAAAATATACCTTTAAGAAGGCACTATGATTCAGGACATTTCTATCAGAAAGTTAATAGTTTATTACCAACAACATCAGATATAAATTCTACAATCAATAAAGGTAATTTTAGAGAACTCCTAAAATTAAGAATTTCATGTGGAGATTCTGATCTGGAAAAACACTTGAAGTCTACTCATTCAAAAGCTACCTACATTAGTCCAGCTATTCAGAATGATATCATTGAATGTTGCAAAATGTACATTACAGAGGAAATTGTTAAAGAAATTCATGAAAGCAAGTATTATAGTATTTTATTTGATGAAACAACGGATATTAGTCATATTTCACAAATGAGTTTAATAATTAGATATCCATATAAAGGGATTATAAAGGAATGCTTCATGGGTTTTATTAACTGCCATGATATTTATGATGCCACTGCAACTGACGATGATACAATTGAACAGGTTGAGGGGAATCCAGAGACATTTGAACCAAAGCTCACTGGTGATATATTGGGAGAAGTTGTGGTAAATATGTTGAAGAGTTTGACATTAAATTTAAAAAACTGTGTTGGAATAGGCACTGATGGATGTGCAGTTATGGTGTCTATTGCAAGAGGTGCTGTCAAAAAAGTCCAATCGCATGCAACAAATACTTTACATTGCCCATGTTCAAACCATGCATTAAACCTATCAATATCTAAATCATCTAATGTACAAGTAATCCGTAATACCATAGGGATAGTCACAGATGTAATTTCTTTTTTTAATTTGTCGTTTAAACGCAATTTTGTCTTAAAAAAAGTTTTAAATCACAAACCACATCTAAAAAGTTTGTGTGAGACAAGATGGGTAGAACGCCATGATTGTATCATGATTTTCAAATCTTCTTTGTCTGATATTGTAGAATCTTTATCATTAATTTCGAATTGGCAAGAACAAATTTCTTCATCAAAAGCAAAAATATTATTGTTGGCACTTTGTACATGTGAATTTATTAATGGACTGCAGTGTCTATCAAGTGTATTGTGCGTGACATCTAAGATCAGTAAACTACTACAAGCAGAATGGCAAGATGTATGTCAAACTAAAGAAATTATAACTGATGTTATTAATAATCTTGAAGAAAAGAGAAAAAACTCTATTGAAAATTTCCATGAACTCTATATTGAAACAAAAGAAATTATGTTGAACTTAGAAGTCGAAGAAAAACTGCCTCGTTTAATTGGTCGTCAAACTAAAAGACCTAACTATCCTGTTTCATCAGTTGAAGAGTATTACAGAGTGGCAGTATATATTTCTCTGGTAGAAAATATATTAAATTATATGAAGGAAAGATTTAATAATGAAAAAAATCAAACTTTTTTATTTTTATCTCAACTTACTCCTAAAAACATTATTAAAACTAACAATGATGATATTGTTAAAGTAGTTGATGTCATTAAAAAATATTATACATTTGAAGATATGGATTTTATTGATTTGGAAGAAATGAACCTTAAAACTGAAATTAACTTATGGAAATCTAAGTGGATAAGAATAAAAGATGAAGGTATTTTAACAAATAATAATTTAATTTGTTAGAGGTGTATCAATAAATAAGGATGTTTTTGTTTTAGGTGGACATGTCAACCTAGATGTCATCACTTCTGCGGAAACTTGTAATGAGATACTTTATCCAACTGTAAAGAAGTTGCTTTTTATTTTAGCATGCTTGCCTGTTAGTGTTGCCTCAGCTGAAAGATCATTTTCTACTCTTAGAAGGTAATGTTTAATTCTAATTGCATGCATAGACGCATAGTATATTGGTATCATGCAATTATTGTGTGTATTAATGTCAATTATGCAATTGACATTACTATACTTATATTTGAATTTCTCATTTATTTTATGTAGATTAAAAACATGGCTTAGATCAACAATGGGGCAAAATAGATTAAGCGGATTGGCTTTATTGCATGTGCACAGATCAATAAGTATAAATATTGACAAAATTATTGATAAATTTTCACAAATGAAAAAAAGAAATATTGATTTTATAATTTAATAAATATTATATTGTTTTACTGTAATTTGAACTTTATTGTATTTTATTTACCTTTCTTAAGATATGCAAGTATAAAATGGACTAGTAATCAAGAATATTTATAAAAAAATATTGTACTTAAGTAGTAGTGTATAATGTTCTTAAATTTAGTACCGCCCCCCCCCCCCATAAAATTAAGTCAAATACGCCACTGAATACAAAGTACCACAGGACACGCTTGCCACTCGTGTACGTATTATAATATTTTAGCTTCTGAGCGGAGTGATAAATGTTAATTTTACAATGATTTTTTTTTTTTTGTACTTTATTCTATCAGCTTAAAAATGTTTATACTATATTTTTTTGATTTTTGCTTTTCAGATTTGTAGCTGAAATAGAAAAACGGTTTTCTGGTACTAAAAATGATATTTTGATGGTTATAGACATTTTTAACTCCTACAGTGATCAGTTTTTGGTATCTAATTCTGTTCATCTTAAAAAATGGGTACTTGTTTGTTAACGCCCCGCCAGTGCGCCGCATAAAATTTATCGCCCCGCCACTCTTGTTTGTTATCGCCCCGCCAATTAAATAAAATAAACAAAATAATAAATAAATATAAAATATGTAATTTATGTATTATTAATAATAAAAAATTTAAAAATAAATGAATAAATATATGTTTATAAATTTAAAAAAATATGTATAAATGGATTAGTAAATAAATAATATAATTATAATTATAGTGGAGGCCAGAACTCGGATATATCTTTTAAAATGGTTTCAAATGCGTCTTGTTTTCCGAGACGTGTTCTCCACATAAATTCTGCTAAATATGATTCCAAAAAATTTCTGTTTGTTCCACGACGCTTTTTATTTCCCCATTTAGCAGAACCCCACAACCTCTCGATATTTTGGGTGTGTGCCCCTGTGTCTGGATCAACAAAATTATACGTATGGTTTACAGTATTATGTTGGAATCCCGCTTGCTGCAAATTATTATACGCTTTCCAACAATCTGACAATATTACTGAGCCTGGTCTTATATATTTTTTGATTATAGGTAACAATGTTTTTTCCGATCGATCAGGTACACTTATTATAAAACATGCATTGGTTTCCCGACATATTCCACCGAAAATCCATTGCTGAGGTAGAATACGTCCAGCATTATTTTTCCGACGCACAAATAAACTTTCATCTATTTCGACGATAAGACCGGGACCACCAATTTCTTTATTTTGGTCATTTTCTAACTTCCATATACATACTTCACGTAGATAGTTACTCCAATCGACCACAGCATTTTGTCCCATCTTTAGCTCATGTTTACAAAAAGTTACTGAAGACATTTCTCGAGCCCAGTAGTATATGAAATGTACAATTGTATGTATTGGTAGTCTAGAACCAGTTAACCAATTGTTAACTCTTAAACCCTTTTCTTTCCGGCAACTTCTTTTCTGACAACGCCATCGTGACCCCTTGATAAACATTATATGGCCATTTTCACATATTTCACTAGTTTTAACTATATTATTTTTTTGTAAAAATGTAATTGCAGTATCATTGTTAAAAACAACTGTAAGTAATTCATTAAAATTCATTTTATAATATAAAAGAAAAAAAAGAAAAAAAAAATTTTTCGAATTGGTTTCAAACGAAGTTAAAGTTTACTAAAATAACGAAAGCCAGCAGCGTACTAATATGGTTTAATATAAAATGTACAATAGTTTTTCCATTTCCCAAAATAGATCATCCACCACGAGCTAAATACGATAATTGTAGGTATAATAACGGCACACTATATGGCGGAGCGATAACAAACAAGAGTGGCGGGGCGATAAATTTTATGCGGCGTACTGGCGGGGCGTTAACAAACAAGTACCAAAAAATGTATTAACCATTAAAGGCATTTTAAAATTAATTCTATACATTTATCTTCTGAATTTTCTTCCATTCAAGCACTACTTAAAGAAAAAGAAATTAATCCTGATATAATAACACTAACAGAAATACTGTGTAAGCTACCATCTGCTTTTGAAGAAACCTTGAAAATATTTATCAATAATTTTAACATTGCCTGCAGTACTGCTTCTAATTAACGCTTTTTTTTCGAAATTGAAAAGAGTAAAAAACTATTTGAGCTTAACTATGGGAGTAAAAGGTTAAGTGATTCAATGGTTATTGCAACTGAAAAAGAAGAAGTTGATACACTGGATCTTAATGAAACAGTAGATAGTTTTACTAAATTAAAATTTAGAAGATTTCCTTCATTGTACATTATTATAGGTATTATATTTAAGTATGTACTACATTATAGGAAATCTAGGTTTTAATTTAGTAAAACTAATTAGTGTATCAAATAACCATTAAATTACTTAACCTGTTATCTTCCGTTGTTAAATGCAAGTAATTTTTCATTATTTTAAATGTTGAAAAAAAAAGTTTATTAAAATCAATTCTAACAGACAATGTTAAAATTATTGTAATTTGTTTTATACTATAATTCTATGGAATGTATTTGCACACCCAGTGAGTACATTAAAATTATTTATTCAAACCAAATAAAAAACATTTTTGTTTTGCAAACAAAATTAGTATTATTTGTTTTATACTATAATTTTTATGAAATGATCTACATTTACAAAAAAAGTGTGTTGAAAATATTCATGGGATGACTTGACCATGCAAGTGACTGATATTATTTTAGATTTTCAATATTGATTTTGCATCCCATGAAAAAATGTGAAATGACGCCTCTGTATTCACGCAAAATGTAAGGAAGAATATAGTAAAATTGTGTATGTACATTATTATGTGCATTGCTTAAATTTATCTCTAATTGACTCTATTTGTGACAAATCTAGCAATAAAAGTCCTAACCAAAATCGATTTTTGTTTGATTTTATTGGAACAGTTCAATGTTTTTACTCATTTATTGAAGGAGTCTTATGCGTCGTGCTATATTTGAAAAATAGCTAAAGAAAATGGTACACACGTACAAACATTATGTACCGTTACCAGATGGGCTTGTCGTACAGAAGCCGTAAATGCAATAAAAAATAATTACGATTCAATATTTTTTAGCATTAAAAGCAATCAATGTAAAATGGTCAATTCCTTGATGCACACAAAAGGTCAAGGTTTTCTACATCAACTTCTAACTTTCAATTTTATATTTTGTCTAAATATGATAAAAGTTATCTTACAGCTAGTTTTGAAAGTAAGTTCTGCCTTACAAACACCAAATTTAAAATTGTTAACTACAATTATGATAATTAAAACACTCAAACAGTCATTAATTTCATTTCGGAATGACTCAACATTTTAAATCAATGTTTGAAAATACAAGAAAAAATGTGCTATGAAATGAATATTGAAATACCTAAAAAAAAGAACATAAATCTACAACACAACATATATTTAAAAATAAGTATGGTGAAATGAGAATTTTGGTATTTTATTCAAATTTTTTTCAAACTTATTAGTAGCTTAGAAAAGATATTTAAACAAGATACATTGAATTAATCAATGCATTGGTATATTAATCAACCTATATGATGAAAATGAAACTTCAACGTATAAAATATTTTTCAATTTCAGCTGAAGCTTTATGCTATGAAGTTAATCTTTTGAGATCTACTGAAGATACACCAAAAGGTACAAACTTTAGTATAATTAGTATATATTTAGTAGTATATTTTACATACGCAAAACTCGCTAAAAAATTGAACTATCGTAAAACATTCACATATAAAAACAGATAATCTTCTTATTAAGTTTCATTATAAATAAATTCATTCTAACTTTTAAACTAACGAAGCTAAACCTAATCTACTGAACGTAAATTTGCCATGTTACGTACATGTAAAACAGAGACAATAAATGTCTGTGTAGCATCCTCTTAAGAGTTCCAATATTATGAGTAATGTATAAATACATATTATTAATTTCTATATGCTTATAAATGTTATTTTATAACTTATATTATATTTAATATATTTTTAAAAGTATAAAACATTATAGGGTAAACCGTTCAGTGACTGAACACCCTCCAGTTATTGAACAAAGTTTAATTATATCTACAATTTACGGAATCAGTGTGGTTAAATTATGTAATAATAAATTAATTAAATATTTAATATTATGTTTAAACCGTAAACAAACAATCTAATACTTTATTTATGTTACTAATTTGGACTTATAACGGTTTAAAATCACTCTCTCACATTTGTTTGCAAACTGAGGTCAAAAGTCTAAGTAAGTAGCTTAGAATTTTTTTTATGGGAATTTAATAACTTCCTTTATACTTGTTATATCATAAAATAAATGGTTTCATTGTATATAACATTACATTCTGAACTATTTTAAAGGTTTAAATGTATTAAAAGTATGTTTAATTCCTATTTATTCGAGTGTTCAATTACTGGAGACATGAATTCAGTAATATCTAGTTATTAAATGGGTGTTCAATTACTGGTATATTAACTTAAAAATGAATTTGCCTCAAATTTTGCACATATTCAATAACTAAGTGAAGAAATAATTTTGTTTTTATTACATATAGTTCTTAAATGAATATATCCAATAATTGAACATAATATAATCTCTACTATATATTTTGTATGCATTAAAGTTTATCGATTAATCTATCGTCCACGACACTTAGGACTATTATTGGATAAAAATATACTATATAATATTTAATAGAAATTAGGTATTCAGTTTTAAAACATACAATAATAAATATCTATATTTAGTTTAAAATGTCATAAATAGGTAATAATACAATAAATATAATTGATTTTATTTTTTGAAAACAATATATCTATCTATTATTATTTGAGAAATTAGAATTTAATTGGTACTGCATACTTGAATAAAATTTTAAAGTTTAATAAATTACTATTTTATTACAATTTTATTTAAATAATTTAGATAATTAAAATATTATAAAATTACATTTGAATTGTATATTACTTATTTATCATTTAAAGCATGTTTTGATTTTCATATAAATATA